TCCGCCGATACCCGAGACGCCGAGTCGCTCGCGTCGCTTGTTTACCTCGCTGTTCATCGACGGGTCGTCTGATCGATCGCCTCTAGTATCGACGTATCGGACGGGTTTACTACTCCCTCAGGTTTAGGTAAGCTTTCACTTATCGGCTGCACGGCCCGGATAACAAGATGGTTTCTTAATTCTGAATATTTTTAGTTTATCAAATTGCTATTTTTTTAATCTTTCATTTACTGTGTTTCTTTTGTATCAGTATGAGAGTTACTTATCCGACGACATCTTGCTTGTTGGTGGACCGTGGTACATGGGAAAGATGTCATACCTGGAACAGAAATGAAAAGAAAACATTAAAAATACGTAACATTTGCTGAGCGACGTGAGCAAGTTTTTTTTTCTCCTTCTCTCCTCGCTATTTTCTAGGGCGTGCTCCGGCAGAGGACTCGAGGCGAGCGCGGCGCGGCGTTGTTGTGCAACAACTCCTGCAAACCACCGTGGGCGGACGAGCGGGGCAGAGGCGATGCATCAGCATGACTGTCACGGGTTCGAGTCCATGCAAAACCATTCCATTTTAGTTTTTTTTTACCCACTCTTCCGCACTTCGTTTATGGAACGAGGACGTCGGAACGCGTCCAGGTGGCCGAGCAGAGGGGAAGAATTTCACAAGCAGTACGCCCTTCAAGGAAGTTATGGCTGGCACTCGCGGCGCCAACTCAAGTAACTCAAGGTTTTACAACGACGGTTTTCAAAGTCGAAACTTCCCCCGCCATTTGTCACGGGCCTTGCAACATCGTAAGTACGCTGCCTCTAAAACACGTGAGCGGTCCTAAAAGGGTATTATTCCGACACAATTTTTATGCGTTTTTCATAGATTGTTTTGCTTGCATATTTTTTATTTACCGCAGTTACGCCTGATTCATTTTCTCTCTCTCCCTGACACAGACACACCAAACAACGTCAACGTCGATAGCACGAAACAAAGAGAGGGAGAGAGACACAAAGAGAGAGAAAAATAGGTGGGGCGAGAGAAAAAGAGAGGGAGAAAGGGGGGAGACGAGAGATGGAAATCCTAAGTGTGTTAGGGATGCCGCCCTTTTATCTCGCACGCGCACGCAGCTGTACAGCTGTAGAGGCAGCTGCAGGCAGCTGTCTGTGCAGCTCGCGGCGCATCCATAATGCAGAAGCGCCTGGCCCCGCCAGGGCCCCGCACGGCATATTGCCACAAAGGCGAAGATGGGTTTCCCGGGCCGCTCCGCCGCGGGCCGTGCCGCCCCCCTTCTCCCTGGGCCTGCTGCCTCCGCACTGGCTGGCCGGCTCCGCGATATTGAAAGCGAGACGAGGAAGTGTTTGTCGACCCACTTACAATTTCAGGACACTCCTCCGCACAAAAAAAAGCTAAAAGCAGCACACTAAAAGTCAAACGCCCTTTTCTTTCTGGGTTACTCAGTTTGCCTGCACCAAATGCACCACATGGTGAACAAACTGTGTTTCCAGCCCCACCCCCACCCCCCCGAAGGTAGCCAGGAGCAGCAGCAGCCGTCTACAGCATGAGCGATTTCTCAGCAGTATGCGCTGCCGTGCGTGGCGCGTTGTTTAATTAGAGCGAACACGGCCGGTGAATCACGTTCGACACCGCCTGCCTGTCACTCGGCCCCCGCCGCTCGCTGACCCACCCCGGCCGATGTGCGATTAAACCGCAAGCGTTACGATCATTACGCAGCACTCGATAATATGGGCGGCTGGCTGGGGCTGGGCTGGTCGGGGCGATGCACGGCAAAGGACATGTGCAATGCGCAAAGCACCTTCAGCTCGCTGGCTCCGCCCCGCCCCGCCCCACAGGCCCCACCCTGCCGCGCCCTGCCGCTCGCTCGTGTCACACCTTAGCGCACGGCTCAGGCGGCTATGGGTGGGGACGCCCCG